GGTGGACACCTCACATTTACGATTTGGTCTGTCTATTCACTGGTGGTTACCAATGTGTTCTCTCTCTTTCTTCCATGTTACTCCAACCCATTTCAATTTGCCAGACGGTGATTGGCCTGTTCAACAGCAAGATTCAGATTCATCTCCTCCTGATGATGAACAAGGCCTCCCCAGAGTACGGAGAGAGTTTGCACAGATACAAGAGGGCAGCGCGGCTCTTCCAGGGAAAGGTAACTTGGGGCTAGGATGCCTTTTGAGTGAACAGCATCAGGCCTCTGGGAAAAGGAAAGCATGGCTAGGAAGTAGAAATAAATAAGGAAAGCAAGTATCATTAAAAGATAACAAAGCAAGAACTTTGACATAGTGAATTGCATTGTTTGAAATTAAGAATGCTGTATTTTGTAAACTAAAGGCCTATATCATCATATTTTCCATAGTGATTGTCTTGACTTTTTTTCCCCTGCATTGATTGGTAGAAGGAAAATAGAGACACAAAGGTCCTGAAAATAAAATCACCCAGTAGTCACAATTAGTTTACTCTTTGCCATAATCTCTTGGAGTTTTAGACCCCAAGGCTTTTTTTCTCCAGTACCTGGTGCCTACTAAATGTCCAATAAATATTTGTTTCTTCCTTTTTTCTCCTTTGAGAGGTACTGCTTGATATCACTAAAACAGTAAAACTCAACTTCTTCAAGTCTACAGTGTAGAACAGGAGACCTTTCTAATGATGAAAATTATCTGGTAATAAAAAAGCTGCTTTTCTGATGGTTGGTTCCCTAGCACAGGAAGTACTCAGTGTTACTAAATATAGGTGAGCCTTTGATTGGAATATATTATCAATAAGATTTGTACTTTGGGTAAAAAGTTTGATTTAATAATATAAAATAGTTAACTCTTTTTTTTTTTTTTATTGAGAGAGAGTCTCACTCTATCACCCTCGGTAGAGTGCTATGGTGTCATAGCTCACAGCAACCTCAAACTCTTGGGCTCAAGCAATTCTCTTGCCTCAGTCTCCCAAGTAGCTGGGATTACAGGCACCCGCCATAACACGTGGCATTTTTTGTTTGTATGTTTGTTTAGCAGGCCCAAGCAGCGTTTGAACCCACTAGCCCTGGAGCATGTGGCTGGCAGAACATAAGACTTGTTCTCAGCTTTAACCACCAGGCTATACCTCTTCCCTTAGGTCATCATAAAGTGCCTTCCAATTCTATGTTCCAAAAATTAAATAAATGTGATCAAACAGATAAAATACCAAGTGACACAAAATAATAGGACATTCATTTTAACTCGGTTAAGATTTAAATTATGTAGCACAGACCCTGAATTCTATCAGTGGAAATTAACAATTACAAGGTGTGTCTTCATCTCTGGGACCTGAGATACATCTCTTTCTTCTGAACTTTTCCAACTGCAGATTCTCTTTATCCTCGTGGACAGTGGTATGAAGGAAAATGGGAAGGTGATATCGTTTTTCAAACTAAAAAAGTCTCAACTTCCAGCTTTGGCAATTTACCAAACTGTAGATGACCAGTGGGATACCCTGCCCATAGCAGAAGTTTCAGTAGAGGATGTGCAAAACTTTTGTGATGGATTCCTCCAAGGGAAATTGTTGGTAAGAGTGGGACTACAGGTAAAGCAAGTTGAGTGTTCTTTCTCCCTGTCTCTGTTATTTCCTTTTAAATAAGAGTTCTTTGGGTTCTGGGTGGAGATGGGGACAGCCAGGGTTTCTTAACAGATACAAAATACAGCTAGTTAAGAGGAATTTGAGTGTTCTAGGAATTTGTTCTACAGTGACTATAACTAATAACAATTTATTGTATGTTTTCAAATAGTTGGAAGAAAGGTTTCTTTTTTTTTTTTTTGAGACAGTCTCAGTATGTCACCCTCAGTAGAGAGCTGTGATGTCACAGCTCACAGCCTCCCAAGTCTGGGACTACAGGCACCTGCCACAATACCCAGCTATTTTTTTGTCATAGTTGTCATTGTTGTTTAGCTGGCCCTGGCCGGGTTTGAACCCTCCAGCACCAGTGTATGTGGCTGGTGCCCTAACCACTTAGTACGGGCTCTGAGCTTGATTTTTGAGTATTCTCAACACAAAGAAATGATAAATGTTTGAGGTGATGCATATTCTAATTACCCTGCTTTGATCATTTCATGATGTAATCATTTGATTATACCCATAAATATATCAATTATTATGTGTCAGTTTAAAATAATAATAATAATAAAATTCAATTTAAGAAAAGAATTCCTTGGACTATACTAGATTTGATGAAGAGTAAAGGTGTATGAAGACCCAGTGGTCAGAGCAAGAATTTTTTATAATACAGGCATGAGAATAGAATGAGGAACACATTTTTGGAGAGGTCTTGCAGATTCAAAGAAGCTGAATGTTGAATGTCACCATTATGCTTAAATATCTATAGGAAGCAAATCAAATTTCATAGAAATGAGTTAGTTGAGAAAAAATTGAAGATGGATTTAGGACTTCTAGGAATAATAAAACAGCTGTTTCCTGATCTCAGAGCTTGAAGACAAGCGTGAACTCGAAATCTAAAGATAAGTGTTATGATGTTTTTCAGAGAGAAACTCGTGAATCAGAAGAAAAGACCCCAAAGGTGGAACTCTGATAGCCCTGACTCATCGGCACACCACCCAGGGGCTCTTTATTCTCAATAAAAGGGGATAATTCAAACCTCAGAGACACTGAACCTCAGAATCACCAGGTCTGCCACACACACACACACACACACACACACAGCTCCATTGTCCCTCGAAATCTCCTTTACACTCCTTCTTTCTTTTAAATTTCCTCTCACTACCCACCCAAGTTCCTATTAGGCATTGACACCGTGCAGGCCCATCTATCTAATACTACTACACTGACTGTATTTCAAAGTGAAATACTGTAATGTCTTTGAGAGGGAGGGGCATCCGTAGAGATTGTCACTTCACACTGTGTACACTGCATGTGACTTACACCCAACTTAGTTCCTGCCCTTCAGGGGTATCTAAGGGGTAAAACTCTACCTTCTTTCACCAGCACATGTCCCCTCTCAACTCTGGGCCAACAACATAAGGATGGTTTTAAACACCTTTCCAAAACTGTCTTTTTGCCAGAAGCCAAATGCCATGTCCAGGTCTCTGAACTCAGCAGAAACAGACCATGTAAAAACTCTCTGCTTGTTCAGCATCTCCAACTCCTCGTGTAAATCAACAACCCACATAATAAATAAAAGGCCATAATGTTATAGGGAAAGATTGGCGTCTCTTTGCAGGCCGAACCGTTGGTAAATACACAGCTGCCCAGCTAAGCGGCCTGTTCCTCCCCTTCAGCGCCCACTGTTGAGCTTCGGGCCAGAGCCACTAATGTTATTGTTCATTCTGTGGGTGGGATGGGTGGTGGGGACAGACCATCCTGTGTGAGGTGTGGTACAAATGTGGCAAAGGAGGCAGGAAGTGAACGAGGTAAAAGGTTGGGGGATGAATGAGAAGGGGTCTCTTAGTGTGGGGGCGGGCTGGGGCTGCTAAGCCCGGATGACTGCAGCTGAGGTGTGCAGTCCAGCTCATGGGGGACGGAGGGAGAGCTTGGCCCCGTGCCTCTGGCCCACAAGCTGTTACTGTCAACACACAGATGCTCCATTGTTCCCAGGAAGCCCTTGGCTCAGAAGGAAAGAACCTAAGTGCTGAAGAGCTGAAAAACCACAGATGCACCTCAGGACTGGTCCGAGTGAGGGGCAGGGAGTAAAAGGCCTGGTTGTTCCTTTCTGTGGTGAAACCCCACAGCCCCTGGGGCTGGGAGTCAGCTGCTGGCAGGGACACTGTCAAAGCGGCAGTGTGTGGCACGCCTCTCGGCAACCAGACCCAGGGCTGGTGAGGAGGTCAGCCAGTCTGGCCAAGGCCGCAGAAAGCCACCCAAACAGCCTCTTGCTTGAGGATGAGAAATACTCCTCAGATAAGCACATCCCGGAATGCTCCTTTTGGGCCTGTAAGCCAGAGCTCTGGCCATTTCCCGTCAGGAAATTCTTCCTGATACCCAGCTGAGCTCTGGCCATGCAAGCTGTTTCTTCTTACCTACCCTCCACGGAAAGTCTTGACAGCTGCCAGACGCCAGCCCCAAGTCAACTCCCCGGCAGTTGTTCTTCAGCCCCTTCAGCCAACCTTTTTTTCATACTCAAAATCCAACTCTTCTATTATTTTTGATTTTTCTAAGCCATTTGATTGCCTTCACTGTTTTTCTCTCTTCCCTCTTTCCCAACTCTCCTTCTCTCTTGCCTAAAATAATAGGAACCCACACTAAAGGAGAGTTCATAAGCTGCATTTTCAATATTGTGCTAATTCTTTTTTTGCAGCTTTTTTTTTTTTTTTTTTTTTGGCCAGGGCCAGACTTGAACCTACCATCCCTGGTATATGGGGTCAGTGTCCTACTCCTTGAGCCACAGGTGTAGCCCAATATTGTGCTGATTTTTCATTTGTTTTTCTTGAAGTGTTCACCCAACATGCATGATCAGTACTGACCATGTGGTCTTAACATCTTTACAGTATATTTTGCTGCTTTGTCACACTCGGTAGTAATTTTAATATGTGTTCTTTCGCCTGCTTACTTATATGTGTATGGTGTTGAACTGAATTATTCCTCCTTATCTTATAGTCTTTCAAAACTGCTAGGAATTTTTGCCTGCCTGTCTTCTTCACCAACAATCCTGGCACTCATGACTGAGGAATGGGAATTCATCAGAAAGAAGAGATGTCTAAAGGTTTTAATCTATTCATTACAGATCAGATCTCATATTATAAACATCTGCAATTTCTAGATCTTTTTCTGTCTTCCAGTCTTGTCTTCCCAAGACTCTTCCCAAAGCTATATAACTGTTGAAATATCTGGATACATCTCAGCTATTTTTCATTATGGAATCATTCATTGGCTCTTGCTGAAGGGACTGACATATTTTCTCTTTAAAATGGGAAGGAAGTCATGATAGTCTATGATAGAACTTTGAAAAAATTATTGAAAGATTTGGAAGACTGTGATGGAAGGAAAGCCTGTGAGTCAGGCAGGCCTCAAAGGAATGGCAGACAGGTGTGGGGTTGAGCCTTACTTCTTCCATGTATGGGGCACTCTGACCTTTTGGAAAAACCTCTCTCTATCTTTGAACTTCAGTTCATTGAGGATAATACAATACTTCATAGGATTTTTTGAGATTCCCAGGGATATAGTCCATATTAATTAAAATTCTGTCATGACCTTTTTTGTTTGTTTATTAAATTAATACTGCATTGTATTCTTTAGGTAATAGGAATTTATCCAATCAGCAGAACTTACAAGAAAGGAGAAGCTTCTTTCGAGGTCTTTCTTAAAGGAATTAGCGCGGGAGGCCTCACACTTGAAACTGGAAAAGCATTTGAGACAAATGTTTTCAGATGGAGGCTTTACTATTATCCAGGTACAATGAGGCCAACAGATCAGAAAATGATGGCCACTGAAAAGATAGATCGTTTATCATTCACAGTCCCCAAAAGAAGGAAGCACTCTGTGCCACACAGGCCACCGGCAGATGCTAGGGTCAGTGTGGAGGCAGAGGGAGCCAAGGGGAATGACAAGAGCCTTTTTTTAAAATTCGTTATTAAATCATAACTGTGCATTAATGCATTTATGGGGTACAATGTGTTAATTTGATATACAATGTGGAAGGATTACATCTAACTGATTAACATAACTGCCTCCTTGCTTACTTATCTATTGTGGCAAAAACATTCATACTCTATTCTTAATAGTGACTTAATAAAAAGACAAGAGCCTTTATGATGATTTTCCTGGGAAGAAAAGGAAGAGGCAGGGTTAGAAGGTCTAGGATTGACTTTCTTTAATAATTTCAGCAGTTGGGGGGGCGTAGGAGCTGTCCTTTTTGTCTGGATTGATTAGGGTAGGTGAGCCTAGCCCAGAGGGTGAAAATCCTGTGGAGTCATAAAAGAATTAGGTGGGGAATGAGCTCTGGATTGGCTGGTTTGCATACAAACGGTATGCTATAGGTGAAAAGGTTTGCATAGAAGAGTTATTTACTCTCCCTGGAAGGGCAGGCTTTCCTGGGTCATCAAAGCCCCATGGGTCCAAATGTCAGAAACACATGGTTTACACCATAATTCTAATCCCTGCTCACATGGGGGTCCTCTTCAAACTCAGTTGGGTAATGCTACAAAGGAAGGCAGCCGTCTTCACCAGGCCCAACTTAATACACCTATATCTTACATGCATAGGTCGGGGTAGGATGGGTGGTAAGTAATGTATTATGAGAAAGCAATTTATTGATATACTCATCCATTTAAGTATTTATTAATCACGTGTCTTACTTGAAGCTGTCAGGCAAAATGCCTCCTAAGAGATCAGAGTAAAATTGGCCTCAAGTGACAAGCTGTAGAAAAGAGACATTTCTTTTTCTTTTTCTTTTTTTTTGAGACACAGTCTCACTTTGTTGCCCTTAGTAGAGTGCTGTGGCATCACAGCTCACAGCAATCTCCAGCTCTTGGGCTTAGGCAATTGTCTTGCCTCAGCCTCCCAGGTAGCCAGGACCACAGGCATCCACCACAACGCCCAGCTATTTTTTTGTTGCAGTTTGACGGGGGCTGGTTTTGAACCCGCCGAAAAGAGGCATTTCATTTGCAGTGACAATGGGCATGATGCAACCCACCAGAATAATTCTGGGCAGAGCACAGGGAGCAGCGCACAGGGAGCAGCAGAACAGGCAACGCTAGAAAAGAAAAAGAAGTATGCTGCAGAGGGGACTGGGCAGGAGGCCGGCAAGGGCTGAGGACGCCCCACCCAGGAAATAGTCTACCCCAATAGGGACAGACTTTATTTCACAATTAAATTTGGAGCCAACCCTATTTGCTTCACTTTTCTGAAAATATCTAGTTTTCTAAACAGAGAAAAATAAGACAGGAAGTGGGGTGAATCTGACCCATGGCTCCTAATTGCAGAAACTTTACACAGAGCGACCTCAATAATAGAAAAAGGAGGAAGTTAAATACCAACATCTTTTGAGTTTGAAACTTTGAAGAAAATATACTCTAGAAATCAAAGAAACGAAGGAATCTTAAAACCATACCTGTTAGTCTGAAGGCAACTCAATCTCCTTCCAACCACTCCTTGCCATTCTGGAACCAGAGGTCACTGCTTTTCGTGGGCTCAATCATGACTTAGTAGCTGACTCTTACTAAGTATGGAAAGGTACAGGTGACTAAAGAGTGATGAAAAGTTGTATGAAATCCAGAGTTTCATGTTTGATTATCCAAACAATTGCAATAAATCTGAATAGCAGGATTCAATTTCTACATCAGGCCCATCAGTCTTAAAATGGTAATGTGGTGTTAGCCTATACCGAAGGAAGAAAAAATAGAACATATTTGTTATAATTCAAGCTGTGGTGAAGAAAGAAACTTAAAATTAACAAGCATGTTGCGTCACAGGTCATGTTTCCCAACAAGAAGATCCTGAGACTAGATTCCCTTGTAGGAAGTTTGTTGGGGAGTGCTCTTGGAACATGTGGGGAGAATGAAGGAAGTAGAATAGTGTGAGGGGTAAACTGGGTTGTGATACAGTCACAGCAAAGGCTCGGATTATTCTGTGGGGATA